AAAGCCCGTTGGGATAAGAGATCAATGCAGGAGTAACACACGTTTTTAAATACCAGTATGTTTTGTTTCTATAGTTAAAATTAATCAGTTATCAGTTATTAAAAAATAAATGGAAAAAACAACTAGGAATACAATATTACATAAAATCATAGAATCACGGAGTCATAGAACAGTTTGGGTTGGCAGGGACCTCAAAGCCCCCCCGGTGCCCCCCCTGCCCCGGGCAGGGCCCCCTTCCCCCAGCCCAGGGGGCTCCCAGCCCCGTCCAACCTGGCCTTGAACCCTTCCAGGGAGGGGGCACCCACAGCTGCTCTGGGCACCCTGGGCCAGCGCCTCCCCCCCCGCACAGGGAACAATTTCTGCCTTACATCTCACCTAAATCTGCCCTCTGGCAGCTTAAACCCGTCCCCCCTCGTCCTACCCCCACCCCCTGACCCAGAGTCCCCCCCCACCTCTCCTGTCCCCCCTTTAAGCCCTGGGAGGCCACTCTCAGGGTCCCCCCGGAGCCTTCTCTTCTCCAGGCTGAACCCCCCCAACTCTCTCAGCCCGGCCCCCCAGGGGAGCTGCTCCAGCCCCCCCAGCATCTCCGTGGCCTCCTCTGGCCCCGCTCGAGCAGCTCCGGGTCCTTCTGCTGTTGGGGGCCCCCGAGCTGGCCCCAGCACTGCAGGGGGGTCTCCCCAGAGCGGAGCAGAGGGGGACAATCCCCTCCCTGGCCCTGCTGCCCCCCCTGCTCTGGCTGCAGCCCAGGGCACGGGTGGGTTCTGGGCTGTCAGCGCACGGGGCTGCCTCACGGGCAGTTTTCCCCCCCCCAGCCCCCCCAGCCCCTCTCCTCGGGGCTGCTCTCCAGCCACCCCTCGAGGGCCCAGCCTGGGTCTGTGCTGGGGATCGCCCCGGCCCCCGGGCAGGACCTTGCCCTTGGCCTTGCACATGAATTTAGCTAACATCAAACCTCCTTTCCGCTTAGCACATGCAAACTGATACTGAAAATTCATGTGGACACCTGCATCTCCAAACCGATAGTGAGCTTCAGGTTTTCTTTCAGTGCTGAGTCTCATGAAAAATACCATGAGCACTGCAAGGTGACACAGCCTCCCGGGAGGTGCAATTCATCCTCAACATCTACTGCTTTTCAAACTCAGATGCTGGTTTCTGGGGTGCTGAGCCAGTAGAGTGCCAGGAACACTGCAAGGCCATATAAGCAGTACAGGGGAAGGCCACCACTGCGCTGCTCTGCTCTGCTTTCCTGTCCCAAAATTCAGCTACAGAATTATGCAGCTTTTTCCTGGAGCTATTTGTGCCGAATAATCACCTAATTTTACCAGGATAATCAGTATATACTATGATAAAAAAAAAAATATGATTTTTACTTGAATAGGGATGTATGTATGTCTTGGATGTTAACTGAAATCAAGGCAGGACATTTGTGAGCAGTGGTAATATCCTATTAAACAAATCACACATATACATTTAAAAATCAGAAAAGCCTTCAAGCACTACAGTCCTAATTCAGTGTGACTAAAAGCTCCAGTAGTTTTCCCAACTACAGTGGCTGACTTAATAAAAAGATATTGCCTTTGCTTGTAATCTGTGTTGTCTGGGTCTTTAGTCAACCACGGCCTCAAGAAAAAGTTCATTGCAACCTGAAGAGTTAAAGCGATTATAAGTTTTTTGAAAAAGTAAGGTAAACACACATTTTGCCATAACTTTCATGTGGGATAACTATTTCTGGAGTAGTCTTTCCTTCATAAGCCTTGGCTTTCTGACTGCTGTGGTTTGCAACCACAAACCATACTTCTCAAACATCTCTTTTAGGAGTTCAAGCGCCAGAGCCGGCGCCTGTCAGGGAACCAGCAAAGGGCAGCCTCCCCACACACATCCCCTCTCCCCACGCACTCACGGAGCCTCAAGCACACCTCCAGCAATATTATTCCCGTTCCCCATCCCCTGTTTCCCCCCGTAACCTTCGGGAGCAGCTGCCAAGGCCAGTGGGTAGAGCGATGGGACACGTGGGACCCGGTGAGCGCTGACTCCGGCAGCCCCCCTTCGTGTGATCAGCAGGGGAACAAGGTGCATTATTTTCCCTAATCATCCTGGAAAGCACAGGTGTGACCTTCAGGCCTGGTTTAATTCCAAAATTAAGCATGAAATTGGGAGCTGTACAACGCTCCTGAAAAGATCTTCAGCAGTGAAAGGTTGGGTTTAAGATGTTTTTCCTACCACCTCGATGTTTTTCCCTGACTTATCCTGCAAAGACTGCTCTCACCAACATATGTGCTCCACACGGGGTACCTTCATGAACTTCTCAATCCTGACTTTACAACACTTTTTACATTGAAGGTGTCCTCTATTTGATGGGCATAAAGCCCAGGGGACATTGCAGAGCAAGGCACTACACGCAGAAGGAAAACATTCAGCATCCAGCCTTACAGATAATATTGTCTAATTAAGGCTCACGGCGCAGCTACATCAGGTGAAGGCTCAAGCTGCAGTCCAAACTGCTCCAGTAATAGTTTTCACCTGGCTTCCTTGAAAAGATGGTTCCATGATAGGATAAACATAACTTGTTTATTTTGTTCAAGCTGCTTGTGAAAGCAGCTTACAGAGACTGAATGTCTCGCAGAGTCATCATGAAAATTTTCAAGCCGAAGCACAAAATATATTTCTCTGTTCTTTGCCTGGCTGATTAATGATGGGAAAACAGATGGTGTTTGCTCATTTGTCAAATTAAGCTAAACCCCCAAATCTATCACCAACGAAACACCCCTCCTGAATGATTTGGAAGGTTGATCTTAACATCAGCCTCATTAACACGTCTCTACAGGAAGCTTTAATTACCCAGCCAGTGACTTTTTGGTCTCTTGCCCACAACCACACATTCCCTCTGTCTCTTCATAGTCCCTTAAATGCCACCCCAGTCTCACTGCCTTGACTTAAACACCCCTCATCCCCCTCCTTGTCCCACCATTCCTCTCTAATTGCAAACAGCCACATCCCTCAGTCCCCCACCCTGCTTCGGTCTCCTTGCTCCCAAAAGTGCCTTTTGCTGCACTTCAAAGCTCAGACAAATAAAACAGAATGACCCATATAATTGTTTTTAAAGGTAGGAGCTTTAACACACTAGGTTTTGCTCTTTGCTGTCAAAAAATTAAAGAGAAAATTTAAATAAAAAAAAAAGGAAATCTAACAGCCAGCCAACTCTCCCTCCTTTGTTCACAGACACCTGCGCTAATAATTCTCTGTTTCTTCTGTGATCATCAACAAGAGAATTGAAATGAAAGGCAACTAACTGACAAACTTTAGATATTAAATTAATTCACTCTCCCTGAGAATGAGAACATGTTTAAAGTAACAGCAAAAACACCTTAAAAGCTTGCAGACAGTTATTATGCTTGAGAAGTACTGAAGAAAAGGAACTTATCTAAGCCTGGATGTGCAGCTCCACTGATTTCATATGGTTAACAGCAAACATACAATTAAAAACTTTGCTGGATTTTATCCAGAAAATGAAATTCTGCAAAAGCCTGAGCACTCTTCCACTAACATGAACATGTTCATGAAACTTTCAGGTGAGATTTCCTATTACTAACATTCTACTAAATGCCGTACAGGCAATAGTATATATTCCTCATTATTGGTACTTTTGTAAATAGAACTGCATCTTTATTAATTTAAATAGTCAATTTACATTAATGCAGTGCTTTAAAAAAACTTTAAAAAGCAGTAAGAATACTATCTAAGCAGTCACATGAGTCAATGCAGGTGTATCTGGAGATCTTACAATACTTTTATTTTAATGATCTGTGCCTCTCAATAGGACAAGACATCCATGCTTAAGTTTTGTTGCAGGCGCAGGTAGCTGGGTGGGGAGGGAGGGAAGGAAGAGATTCTCCATCCTTCTCTGCAAAGGGGTGTGTGCTCCAGGCCTCTTGGAGAGTCACCCGTATCCCTCCCCACCCGCCCCACCATCCTGCCCTGCGCCTGCAAGAGAGAAATGTATGTGTTCCTTAAAAAAAAAAAAAAACAAAAAAAACAACACCCGCCCCCCAAACTGGTCAGTAGGTAACATCATTTTCTAGCAGATGATTGAGATGTGATTCATCTGACAGGAGGCATTTCCATCGGATCTCATCAGCACTGGCTGGCTGAGTGGTCAGCGAGAGGAGGAGGAGGAGGAGGAGGAGGAGGAGGAGGAGGAGGAGGAGGAGGAGGAGGAGGAGGAGGAGGAGGAGGAGGAGGAGGAGGAGGAGGAGGAGGAGGAGGAGGAGGAAGAGGAGGAGGAGGAGGAGGAGGAGGAGGAGGAGGAGGAGGAGAAGGAAAGCATTTCTGTGCTGTAGTTCTTATAAAACACAAAACTGAAACAGGTCAGGTCAACCGCACTTTGAAGGTGCCACTTCTCCCTGTCAACCACAAAAACAATGTTAGGAGGCATGATCAGAGGTAGACATCTAGGTCTGAATGGGGTGAAATAAACTGATTGTCCGCTTTGCTTTTTCCATTGAAATCAATCGGGCGCAGAAGTTTTCCTCTGATACCTCCCCATGCCTCACTACTTTTAAAGACATTTATACGAACAATGGTGTTGGCACAGACCTACTTGAAAACAAGGCAGCCCACCGCATGCACAAGAGAAACTTACAGGCAGAGACCAGGCAACTTCAAACTGAACCCGATTATGACCGATCTTTGCGAATGGCCAACAAATCCCCCCCAAAATGCACCCCAAAGTGTTGCAGCCAAGCAATTGTGGCCACGCAAGACAATGCTCAGAGCTTGCACGGTGTCTGTGCGCTCCGGACCCCGCAGGCTGGGCAGGGGCACCCACCCTTGCCCCGCACAGCTCGGGGGGAAACTTTCTTGGAAGGGTTTATCAGAGAAAATCTGATGTTATACAGTGAGCACACACAGAGACACCTAACTTCTGGCTCTAAGCAGAAAGCACACTTTTTCAAAGGAATGTATGAAAATGCACTTAAAGTAAGTAAAACCAACCAAACCAGAGCCACTGTGTTATGTATCAGGTTTTTCTACCCAGCAGCTTCCTCTTTATCCAACAGAATTCAGGAGAACAAGCCATACAAGACAAATGCTTGTCGCATTATTTGATCGACTACCAAAATGAGTTCAGCGAGGAGAAAGAAAATAAATTTTCTGTGGACTCATGGTAGCAATACACAAATAGGCATGAAGGAAGTCACTAAAATATGATCAAGTTTTGTACTTCTCGTTGTGGTGCTTAATACACATCTAGAGATTGTTTGCCTATCTAAAAAGTTTAAAATTTCCATATCATTTCTACCGAAGGCATTATAAGTATAAACTGTTAAGTATATAAACATAACCTTTACACCTGACTATTTGCCTTAAACTACATAATGTATTTTATAAACTGTAATATACTACATTCCCTCCTAAAAATCAAAATAATTCTATCAAAATAGGATTTCTAAAATATCAAATATTATGAAGCATTCTGCTGTAAAAAAGTCTTTTTCAAATGCACGTGCAAAAAAAAAAAAAAACTTTGGCACAAGATCAGTCACATTTCTGACAATGGAGTTTCTTATCTTGCTCAATTCTATGTGTTTCAGTGCTTTAAGTTAACATTAGCGCTAGAGTTTAATCTGAAGACAATCTTCACAGCCACGGTACATTTTTATTTCACGATAATGGTTCTTTCTTCATTGGGGCATTCACTAGGATTCTGCTTTCTGGCCATGACTTATTCTGTTGTTTGTGAATTGCTTTGTTTTTCCGCAGCTAAATCACCACTATTTTTGTGCTTGTCAGCAAAATAATCGGAGTCAAAGCTTACAGACAAATCTGGAGGACTCACATAAACGTTTCCATTGTCTATTGTGACTTTATGAATCCTTTGTTTGACTCCTTTTGACTTCCACTGTGGTTTTGGTGATGGCTCCAAAGGGTTTATTCCTTCGTATAATCCTTCTCCTGTTTCCAAAGTAATTTTATACTTATGCCACGGACAAACAATGCATGCTTGACCATCGATATCCTGCAAGAAGGAAAAGAAGATAAAAATAGCAAGTTATTGGCTTCTGAATCTTCTCCTGGAAGAATCTCTAGGACAAAAGAGGTGTCTGGTGATTTGGCTTTATGGCTGCCTAGTATTTACATACATAACCATTTCTTTCTATGTTATGTTCACATAGAAGTATTTTAAAAATGCATTAGAGTTTTCACATGATTCTATGCTGCTACATTATTTTTATTTTGCTTACGTACCTCTATTTCTCCAAGGCATAAAGGGCCTCCTTCATCTGAAACATGGTAGAACACAGTATTAATTTATACAGAAGATTTCATACTTAATTGTTGCAACCCTGAGATCATATGTGTAAGTATCTTACGGTAGCAGCGAGAGTCCAACGCATGAAATTTCCCTTCATGGTAGAAAACAACAACTTCTCTGCCATTGACTTTGGCTGTTATTCTTTGGGACTTCTTAATGTCATCTTCTTTGCCAATTAATATAAGACCATCTGGCTCCATTTCAGCAGTTCCTGGGCTTGAGCTGTGCAAATCCACATCCTTAAAACACAAAAAAAATCCCAAAATCCAGTTAGAAAGCAATTCACGTTTGGATTTCCACGTGTAGAATGGATGTCTCGATCCCAGAGAAAACCCCAACCCGTTCAACACGTGAGGTGACGGGAGCAGAAGTTTTAGTAAAAGACTATCAACATGCACACGACGTAAAGCACAGGAGTTTGGTGATAATGTTTGGCCAACGTGTTCATTAACAGAACCGGGGCTAGGAAAACCGGCTGTTGCAAACCTGATACCTGAGGCTGAGGCAAGATAAATTCTCAATCACTATTCATTTACTCTGCACGCTAATCGCCACCTCCCCACAAAACCTACGTGCAAAGAAACACAAGGATGGCAAATGTAGACTACTGTACAATTTAGTTATGCAATGGGCAGCATTTACATCCCAATCCAATATTCTTTAAATAATATTATGGCTAGAAATACAAACTGATACCAGTTGATTAAAAAATTTGACCTGCAAAACAGAAAAAAAAAAAAAATGTTTATTTAGAAGCTGTATTCAACCCGGACTTTTTAGCAAATGTGTCTGCCTTTCCCTTCCTCCTCTTCCACATTTCAAATGTGTAATAGTCTCTCCCTCCCCCCCGCTGAGGACATGAGTAGTTTTACCACGGAACCTGCCCTCCTATTAAATTTGCTTACAATTAGCTACAGTGCTCCAGTTGCCCCCCAATCCCCAGTGCAGCCATGCTACCCTCTCTTCCTCAGAAAATCAGGCTGAAGAGGGTCTTGGCGAGCCCTGAGGCTGAAGGGGGACCCTCGGGCGGGGGGGGGGACCCTCGGGCGGGGGGGGGGGACCCTCGGGCAGGGGGGGTGCGGAGCCCCGCGGAGCCGCGCCGTACCTTGCTCCCGCGCCAGATCGCCGCGGAGATGAGGAAGCAGAGGAAGAAGTGGAGGCCCAGAAGCACGAGGTCCAGCATTGCCTCTCCTCGCCGTGCCTATCGCGACCGTCCCGCCTCGCTCACCGGTGTCGGCGGCGAGCGCCGCGGCCCCCGCGTTACGCGCACGCCGTGACGCCGCGACCCACGGCGGGGTGGACGCGTGGAGGCTCAGCGGGGCAGGGGACAGCTCTGCCGGGGGCTGATAAGGAGCGGGGACGCGCTGGGGCTGGCTTGATAACAGCCGAAGAGAGCTCCAGCTTCCTCCTGCCTCCATCCTCCTCATCAGCCCGGGCCGCCGCCACCTCCTCCACGGGGGGACGAAGCCCTGCTCGGGGCCGCGCGCGACGTTACGGGTTTTTTGGGGATCAGCAGCCGCCTGCTCCCTCCCAAGCCGTTACGCCGGGAAGGCTGGTACGAGCAACGGCGTGCCGCTTCCGAGGCCGGCTCTCTTCTGATTTGTACCTCACCCCACGGAAGGAGCGGCTCTCTGCTTCCCAGCTCACAGGGACTTCCACCCAGCCTTACCCAGAAAGTGAAATGTCACTGCCAGACTCACAGCACAACCCAGTGAGGCGTTCACGCTTAAAATTTTATTTGGAAAATAAGCATAGCATGTAGCAAGCTAACCACAAGAACCAGAGCAGGAAATCCCTGATTTTTCACAACCACCTTTTCGCTGACGCTGCCCATAAACTTCCCAAATTGGCCGAAATCTTGAAATGCAGGAGCTTGTAGTTAGCAACGCTCCTATGAAGACACTTCTAAAACATTGTGTTTCTATATGCATATGCATATAGAAATATGGACACACACACATACCTGTATCTACATACACCAACACACACACATATATATGTATGTCCAAATGAATATTAAAATCAGACTTGGCACCAAACCTCCAGCTCATTTAGCAATGACATTTCTACAGTCAGCCTGGATTTCCTACACATTAATTATCCAGGCACTACACTCTGCAACCTGGCTCAGACTATCAGCACGTTGTGGGCCTTACACGGCCCAACTGACGCAAGCAATCAGTAGCCCACAGCTTCATTTTACAGTCAAGATTTGCATGTTTATCTACAGCCAGCTGCGAATGAAGAACTGCCGTGGCACGTCGGAGGTCCCCCAGAAGAAAGCCCTTGCTGCAACGTGCACTTGACACTAATTTTAACTGAGTTTGTTAAATTCACAGCGGCAAAAGACTTTCTCCCCTTAGAAAAGGAGTGCAGTTAAGGACTTCTCACCATGAAAGACCTGTAACTAGACCCCCTTACTGTTGGCCACCTCCTCACCCATGAAGTGGAGATGTACCTGCCAAATATGATCAGAACATGAGCGATGCCAACCTAGAGCAGCCCGGGAAGCAGTGAGAGCTCAGGAGGAGGCAGCAGTTTTTTGCTTAGGGGAGTCCTCTGAGTTTGGGACAGGACCCAGCATAAGGGAAGGGCACCAGACCGCCAAAGTGAGGTGGATTTCACCCAACGTCACCTTCTCCTCTGGAACCAGACAAACGAAGATCTGCTTTCTCCTCCACTTTAAACAGGACAGTCATGGGCACTAGGTGTGGATCCAGAGATAGGTGAGCTGGTGAGAATCACCTGACTATCAAAAGCAAGTTAAAATGGCCATTTTTCCCCCCCCCCCCCCCCCCCGAGGGGACGGGACGGGGCTGGGCTGTGCGTTGGGAACCGCCCGGGCTGCCGCAGGACCCTGCCCCTGGTCTTTGACATTAACATCGGCTGAGCTTGGCAGATATATACATACTTTTTTTTTTGTTTGTTTGTTTTTTTTTTTTAACTTTTCTGGGTGTGTTTTCATGTCAAACATGCTTACAGAAGAGGGCAAAATCACCTGGATGGCTGTTGTTATGCAAAGTGCTGGAACGTTGTTTCCATTCAGAGCCCAACTTGTCCTTACAAAGCCATATGAGTATTTTGGTCATGGATTTCATGATACCTCATTCAGAAATAAAACTGGTCATGGTCAGTCCAAGAAATTGCTTTTTTTTTTTTTTTTTTTTTTTTTTGGTCATTGCTGTTGTTTAAATCCACTATGAAACTACTTAGTTTCAGGCAGGCCATTCTAGTTCTTGTGTTAGTTAACTAATTAGCTGTACAGACTGAGCAGGGGGCTGCAACAGGCACACTGCAATGGGGTGTACGTGTATAAAACACACCCCCGCTCGTGCCAAAAGTCTTGTAAATCATTGCTTGTAAATCTTGTAAATACTTATTCCTGCCTAGCATGTTTTAAGGCAGAGCAATGAAGGAATGCTGCTGTAAGGCTGTATCCTTCTCAGCTGGCTCTGGTTGTATTCACAGGATCTCCATTGCGCCCACCTCACCAGCTATTTTTTTGTCAGCCTGACACTACAAATTAAGCTGAACCTACGTTTTTTCCCGCGGTCTGAAGGCTCCGTTTCTGTAGGGCTGGGCACGAACGATGCACAATGTTTGCGTGTCGGTACCCTCAGAACGTTGGTGATGGCCCACGTGTGTGAAAGGGACAGACAACCCGGAGCAGGTAGCGGCGGGAGCTCTGTGCCTGCTGGACGTGTCTGTGGGACCCGGGGAGGGGGGGGGGGAGCCCACCAATACCTGACAGAGCAGTTTCCCCCCCATCCCCGCGCCCGCGGTGGGTTCCCGGTCTGACACCCCCCCCCGGGGGTCCGAGGGGCTGAACATGAGCTCAAAACTGCTGTTGGTGCGATCGCGTGAAGCTGTTCCTCCCCCATCAAAAGCCCTGGCTGTGGTTTTCTGCGCGGACACTGGGAGGTCGGTTCGGGGCAAGGCTCCTACGTGTGCAGGGTCTCGCTGGCTCTCCAGCTTTTCCTCGCTTATTCCGAGTGACAACTCAGCACTGGCCCACGGACACGGGACCTGAGGCTCTTTGCTCTCTAGCTCTCACCGACCTACCCAGGCATCTTCTATTTCTTTTCTCCGAGTCTCACTCTTGCCTACGGGTATCACGCCCTGTATCAAAGCTCGTGCTGTGCCAGCAGCTGGCAGAGGCACCGAGATGCTGCCTGAGGCAGCCCGTGGCACCTCAGCCTCAACAGGCTTCCTCCGAGAGGGGTGGCTTTCCCCAGAAGATGACACACCGCCAAAAGCAGTGACCTCGCGTGGCGTTTCCACAGAACCCCGTTACGATAGCCCACGCGCGCTCATCACTACTGCTGCTGATAAAGGGTGATTGAAGAAGTGGGTTGAAGCTGAAACCATGCTGTGTGAACAGGAGTGAAGTGTTCAGTGAGAAATAAATAGTGGTGGCTCCTAAACCCCCGCTCAGCACGCAGAAAGGGGCTGTAAAGAGAACACCGGGGGCACTCGTTCCTGCTCCCTGATCACCTTGGCGATTCTTGACAAATATTCTCAATTTATTTTTAATAAATTCCAGTGATGGAGTTTAGACAACTTTACAGGTGGTTTTAATGTTTAACCACCTAAGAATTCTTATTTTTTTCCTTCAAACAGCTCATCAGAACAGCCCTGTCTGAAAAAGACACTTCTTTTTCTGCTCTGAGTGGCAGCATTTGCCATGCTCTTACATGAGCCTTGTTCATAGTTGAGGACGTGGCCGTGTTTTTCTGAGGGCTGAAACAAATCTAATATGATTCAGAAGTCCCTCATTTATAGTTGTTCTATCATCTGTTTATGTCCTTCTTAAAAGACAAAGCCACAAAGCGCAGGCAAGCCCCTGAGGATTCACTGGTGTTAAGAAGAATAACTGCCTCTTTTGTCTTACATACAATGCTCCTTTAAATCACCCTCGAACCTCACTTGTTTCCTTTGTCATCACAGCATGCTGTTGATTCATGCACTGCTCCTGGTTCTCTAAAATCTCCAGGTGTGTGGGGCTTCTGCTTTTTTTTTTTTTTCCTCCTCTGGAAAACTGCAGACCAGACAGTTTGTTGTTCAACATTTCAGTGTTTTTCCCCTTCCCTTTTATTTCGACCTTTAATTAACCCATGCTGCATTTTACCTGATTGATTTCAAATCATTTTTCCAGCTAATCAAGAGTACTTTTGAATTTCAGGCTGTTCTCAGAAGCACTGATAGCTCTCCCAGGGTGCACTTTCTCATGTTAAACAAAAAAGCACTTACTCCTGCATTCAAGTTACTGAAAAAGTACCAAACAGTTCTACATCATTCTTGTAGACCTTATTTGATCAGTCTTCTGGCTTTTTAATCTCTGGTATCTACTACTGAGTCTGATTTTAGCCAGTTGTGAACCTAACTAACAGTAATTTTATCTAGACTCCATTTCCATAGCTTGCGGAAGATCAGATCAGCGAGGCCACTGCCACTGTGCATTCGAAGTCCTGATTTCCCCACTGATTTCTTCCTTACTCACCAGGCCAGCTATCCTGACAAAGCCAGGAGATGATTATTTTAATGTGATTTGTCAGCAGATTCACAGTGGCGGTCTTTGGCCTCTCCAGTGACCATTAGGACCTTGCACCTGCCACAGTAACTCCCATTTTTTTTTCACCAGGACAGTGGTACCTCTCCTGCCTTTGTAACCGCTTGAAGGGAAGAAGAAAGGTTCAGAAGCTGATCCGGCCAATGCCCTTGGTAGCTTCCTGTAAACCTCAGGAGGCTGGGTTGACTTGCCTACATCTAATCAATAGGCTTGACCCTGCTGGAATTCCAGCCTGCCCCCTTCTCCCTCTCACTCCCCAACACCTCCGCAGTGTTAATGCCACGTAACATGCTCAGCATGTTGGGAAAGCAGATTTTTTTCCCTTGTTAGCTGGCCAAGCTTGGGTGTTGCAAACCTCGTTTGATCCGTGTCATAATAATGCAGAGAAACTGAGCACCATCACATGGTTAATGTATTCTGCCTTGGACTCAAATTAGCTCAGTCCCGTACCAACACAGGTAGATTGTTTATTGCAGACGAAGGCAGGAAGGGGGCACCGGGGGGCTTTTGCTGTCTCTCTCCAACTCTGCAGGACAAACGCTCATACAAAACCAATAAATAACTTGGAAAAAAAAATCTTTGCTCTCAACGAACAAGTCGCTGCCTTATTTTTAAACGAGCACTTTAAGAAGCCCAGATACACAAAGAAGCACCAGCCTAGACACAGTGGCTCAGGACGCGATGCCCGGGGGGCTCACGCTGCAGCGTCACCCGGCGAGGGGCCGTCCCCACCCCCCGACACGGTAACCCCGCTCCCTGAGCCGGCGCGTTCCTGGGGGTTCCCGCATCCTCTGCAAACCTGCCCCCGTTGTCCCGGGACAACAGCCTGTCATACAAGAAGTTGTTGCAAGCAGCTACGGTAAGAAGTTTGTTTTCCCAATTTGTTTTTTGTTTTTTTTTTTTTGTTTTTTTTTTTTTAATTATTTTTTTTTTTCCCCCCCGTTTCACGGAGTACCACAAACCGCACTTTTGTAAGCCTAACGCTTTGTGAGGGGAAGTACATCCCAAAAGCTCTTGTCTTTAAAGAAAGCACAGAACTGACAAAATACAATTTTCCCTAGTAATGTAAACAGTCATTAAAAAAAAAAAAAAAAAAAAAAGCACAAACACAAAACACATATAGTTCACCACAATTTTATTTTACTGTGTTCTGTACAACATACTTCATTCTGTCCAGACCTCTGGAAAGTGATCAATTTTTAAATTCTTTTTCTGCCTGAACAAGCCTTCATATGACTATATTTATTTTTTTTACGTGTGCAACTTATACATTACACTGCTAAGATGTGGATTTTGTCTAAATAATTTCACTGCTGTCTGAACTTATTCTAGCAAAAATTATCATGACATGTGCTACAGTGTTTCAAAGTTTTTTTAACTATTAATTTGTTCCTTGCCTATCAAAAAAAAAAAGAAAAAATGCTACCATAGCACTAAGTAGTAGAAGGCAAGCTTTAATGTTCTATGAACACAAAAATATAAAACAGCTACAGCATTCATACATATGTACCTAACTGTAGCGTGGCAAGCTGTTTCCGAAATGCATAGGGAGTGCTTAGCCATCAGAAAATACATGTATTTTTCATGTTTATTTTACTTGTTTTCTCCTACCACTGAGTATTTCATTACAGAACGCATTTAGGTATGAAGTATAATGTCATCCTGAACTGTTACTATAGCAGCAACAACCGTGATCAACAATAAGCAAATCTAAGTGCTGCTACAATTACATTTTTCCTTCAGCAGAAGAGTTATTAGCTAAATCTTACCTTCTTCCAAAACAGCTTTGTTTTTTTTGTCACACCCCTGGAAAAATGTGAAATGGTATTTTTACGTTAAGTTCTCCTGAAAGCTACAATTGCATCTCCTCTATGTACATTGCAGGTTCCAGTTCTCCACTCTTTGATGCACATTAACACATTTACCTGCACAATCTAACTGCATGATGGAGATTCAGACAAGCAGTTTTCATCTCGTGCTATGTTAATCACACCATCCCTTTTCAGAGAACTGCTCTACTCACAGTTTGGTCAGAGGGTTTTGCTTTGGGTTTGTTTGGTTTGTTTTTTAATTTCTGGCAGTGACCAGAGACCAGATTCCTCTTCACTTACACACATGTCCAATTAGTAGCCAATGCCTACCATGAAATTTTAAACAGCAAGGAGTAGTAAGTACCAGATCAGAAACCAAAAGATTAGAAGGCAGATCTTGAAAAGATGGAGAGTCAATCATGTATAAAACAGGAATGTTGACATAATAAGTACCTGAATAAACTGCATCTACATTCAGACCAACAGTAGTTGTTAACTTTTGGATTATATTTTAACCACTATAGCTTCTCTAAGGTGAATGAATGTGCGTCCACTGTGGGCTTAAAATCCGCCTTGATGCAAAGGTGGCTCCAGCACTTTCCACCATAATTGGTACCCCACTACACTAAATTTTGTAATCCTTGCTTTAGTTTGTTCTTAGAAATGGAAATTCCTGTTGAGTTCTAATGCTTAATACTCTGCATTTTTGCAAAGAGCTAAATATTCCATACATGCAATTAGTACTTAGGTACTATCCCTTCCTGTGCATAACTGTTACAGAAGTATAACGTGTAAAAACCTAGATTTGCTGTGCCAGCTAGTTATATAAAATGCTTCTGGCTTTCTAACACACAGCAGTAATTGTTTGGGCATCTTTGCTTTCAGTAGCTTATATAAGACAATAATTCTAACCCTTGAATCACAGTATAAGATTACAAATGCAGAATGTTTTCATATCCTCAGTCATATTAAATCTAGGTTGTTTTTATTTACGTACTTTGACTAAGCCACTTGTCAATTGCATTCTCATATTTTTTTGGTTCCTTTAACCAGTCTTGATGCCACCTAAGGTTGGCAATAACATTTGAGTAATTCTGACCCAAACTTTGTTTCCAGATGATAAACTGTCTTTTGTTATACTCCTGAACAGAAGAAGAAACCTTTGGGTAGTTTACTACAGAGTAGAGTATTTTGTCCAAGGAATGAACAATTACCGGGAATTTTATGGCGACGTTTGTCAGCTCATCTGGGTCAGCAGTAAGGTCTGGAACAAACAAAAAGTCAGTGAAGAGCCAACTTGCATTTAAGTAAGTTATTGAGTCAGTTAGGACACAGAAGTTGTAACATACCAAACAGTTGTGGAAGTACTGAACGGCCGTCCGAGTACGCGATGTATTTCCATTTTCCAGTTCGCAGCATGTAGGTGGAAGAATTCACATTGCACCCGTGGAACTCACTCAGCACCCACGAGGGCCGGGGCCCTCTGGGTGACACCTCGTTTTCAGCCTTCTCACGCAGCAGTGGTATAAGAGAATATCCACTGAGGTTCTGAGGGACAGGAATTCTTGCTATATCTAAGCAAAGATACACAAAGTCAAAACGGTACTGCAGTTACCATGATTAGGAAAGACTAATGTAATGCTACAGGCGCTGAACATAAATTCTATTTCAGTCATAAAACATGCGTTCCAAATTATTCTCCTTGTAGATCACAGGAACCCCAAAATACACAATTAAAGAAGCTTTAAGGAACCAAGGTCAGCTCCCCACCACCTTGACCAAAAGCAGTATCAATTATGTCCAAGTCAGTCTTTAACAGATGTTAAAACTGATTGCAATAGCCTCCAGTGATGGGTGGTGTTTTTTGTTTGTTTGTTTGTTTGTTTGTTTTTTCCAATCATGATTTTATGCCCTTCCCTTCTGCTCTGACTACGTCAGGCAAGAGAAACAGATTGTCAGAGCATGAAAGGATCCTAAAAGTTTCATATCCAACATGGTCTAACCATGCATTTCTTTGATAATAATGGTGCTAAGCTCCTGTCTAGCATTCTTCACCGGTGAATAACAAAACACTTTACAAAAGGTGGCCATTATGGTTACCAACTAAAACTGATGGGGAAACTGAGGAACAGGGTCACTTGCTCCTCTGGTAGGGCTGGAGATGAAGATGGTATCAGAGGTGGTACCAATACAGTGCACGTATGGAACACTGGATGACTCTATAGCCTACTGGCGGCCCCTAGAGGATGCTATAACTTGAATAAGCTCCTCAGTATCAATTTACATCACAAGTGCCTCTAGCTCCCAAAGATCAGGTCAATATCAAGCATCTGCAAAGATCTCTCTGAGACATTCTGAAAAACATACTTGAGAATCCCAGGGATGTTACCTAATCTTAGGTGTGTCCTAAAAACAGGGTATGACAGTATCGCTGTTTTCAATCACTCCACTGAACACAGCATATAGCCATTCAAAATTCAACACTTCACGGAGTACTGTGGTACTATTTTATCTTCTGTTCTATGCCGAGTGGTGATACTCAGTGCATATAAATTGTCCACAGGTGACTTTTTCCTTTATCAGCATGTATCTTCCTTTTTCTCCTCTGCTTCTGCAGCATATATACCTGTCACTAATCCGTAGTTCTTCCTCTAGTAAATAAAAAGGCCAGCATTTGAATAAGCACTAGGAAGACCTGTAGCATGTAAACCCAGCAGCTTCCAGTGTGTGGACTCAAAACTTGAACAAATACATACTACATTTGAACAAGTTAAAAAGGGGTATAGGCCTTGCTCCTCTGACATCTTAATCCAGTAATGCTGTTAGTTGCAGTAACTGCTTTCTCCACATGCCAACGCTCCAGGCTGGCACCTTCAGTAGCTCCTGCGTTTCCAACAGAGACCCGAAGGTACTTCCACACAGACCAACAAAGCCAGTGCTGTCTGGAGGAAAGGCTATGCTACATCCTGTTAAAAAATGACTTCTGGCTGAATTATCTGTATCACACAGATTCTGCTGGAATCAAAACATCTGGAGTGCCCTTGCTACAGGGTGCACCTAATCTCAAAGTCAGTAAAGGAGGAAGTCTCGAGCAAAGCATTTGGATGATGTCTTGAGAGATTACTGCCCTGAGACAACCCAAAGCAGAGGGATTACATTTATCACAAAAAGACTTGAAATCTGTTTCCTCACTAGTCAGCAGTAGCATGCAGCCTGAATTGATACTAGATGACAGAGATGATCCTTCATGTTTTTACATTCATCTTGACGTATGTGCCTTTTTTGACATTCAGATTACAGGAAAGGGGAACTGCCAGAACAGAAGGAAAGGCCTTATAAATACAAAGTTCTGGAAGGAAAAAGAAAAGGAGGAAAAGAACAAGAAGGAAGGCTGTTAAACCACCTGACCATTTATGTCATATGGGGAAATGGCACACAGAGGAGAAAAAAAGAGATTTTTAACTCTACATACCATACTGCAACATATATAAGAGCCATATCTAATACAGATTACTTTATATATATATAAAAGACTTTATATCAGAATTTAGAAGAGAAAGCTACTCAGATTATATCCTATTTTCAACTGCATAACTGGTTCAAAAGTTTTGAGAAGAGACAGGCAGGTGAGTATCTTCTGTTCTGTTTTTAGAGAATCAACTTAATACAGAAAAGGGTTTTTCACTGAATTTCACTGCTAGGAGTACAGTTTTATCTACTGTCCCATGTTCTCTCAGGCAATTGCAGTGTACAAGTGACACTTCTTAAAGACCAAGCTTTGTAGACTGCCTTGAAAAGAACATTTTTCTGATCAGTAGCCTAAAAGATCCCAGATAAAGGCCTCGAATGCCAACTTCACCTAATGTTTAGTTCCAGTAAGATTCATCTCCTGTACGGTTCACCACAGGTTATTGTTCAAAAATTTAATCTTAAAAGTAATTTCCATCCATGTGTATGTAATTTGACGTCAGTTCTTTCCATATGGTTCTATGCCCCATAATGAGTATTTCCATGTCCAAGAAGGTCATAATGGATATCCATTACTATATATCTATTATGCTTGCCCAGACCAATTGTATGTTTCCTATACAAAGTCTTTATCATGTTTCTTCCATGTGACCCTTCATAAAGAACATTCCTTTGATAAACTAGTGAACCTGCCATCCTTTCAAGTTTAAATTCATCTCTGGATGCATTTACACTGTAACTTCTACAGTAAACTGTTAGGAATGAAGGCTAGCAAGGATTATTCATATCTAAAATGCATCTGATTGATTATATATAAGATTTTTTGTTATTAAAAAAAGACGATAAAAAACATTCACTGCAATTATGCTGATGATAGTAACAGTAATTTTTATGTAATTTTTTTGCATTTTGTGTGAAGTCTGTAAGTATGCTCCACAGATAAATTGTTATCTCCTGTTGTGTCGCTACGTTGTCTCACAAAGTGAAAACATAATTCTTACTATAATACAAATGTATAATAATAACTGTAACTGAGAAAAAAGATTTTAGTTTGAAACTCCCTTAACTCACCAAGCATAGTAGGATATATATCCACGAGAGATACCACATTTGGTATTTGCTGCTGTTCTTTTACACCTGGCCCCATAACTAAAAGAGGAACATGGGAACTTCCTTCATACATGCTCATTTTATAGAACTGCCGGTGTTCCATAGCAAGTTCCCCATGATCTGCAGTGAATATGACGATTGTTTTTTTAAGAAGCCCAGTATCTCTCAGAGCTGAAATAACCTCGCCTGCAACAAGAAAAAAGATACACCTTCAAAATATTCCTCCCAACTTCTGTACCTGTAAAGCAGCATGCAAACCCTGAGGAATCCCAGTCAGAGGTTTGGAAACTCTCTGCCACAGAAGGCAGCGCCTGAAATGTTCAGCCCAGAATAATGTACAGTCGCCAATGAGTTGCAAGGGTCTGGCTCCCAACAAAGTGTAAAGGGCACTGAACAACAACCATAAACATTTCAAAAGGCAAGGATGCACCACAGGACAAGCTGCATTTCTGCTATTGTCAGTTTTGCTTAATTTCTAGCATAAGTAATAAATGTTATTTCAGCAGCAGTAAAATAGGCCAGCAGAAGCCCTGACATTAGAATTAGGGTGAAAGACTCTTGACAGTATCCACCTCACACATAATCAGTGGAAGTTGCTCCTTCCTGTGGCCACATCCCCACAGGAGCCCCTCACACATAGATTTGTGCAACAAACACAGGGCCAAGATCAGTGAAGTTGGTAATTAAACAAAGCACTTACGTAGCTTTAACATTAAAACACCAGAATGATTCTTGTTTAAACAGACTAGTTAAAAACTAAAAATATGTTACCAAATTAAACCCCAGTGCAGTTACTCTAGTGGAAGGTGTCCCTGCCCATGGCGGGGGGCGTTGGAACTAGATGATCTGTAAGGTCCCTGCCAACCTGAACCGTTCTATGATTCTGTGGTAATTCCATACTTTGCAACACTTTAATTCCCTAAAACTGTCAAGCTCCTGTTGATCTCTTTCCTTCCATAAAATGTGGAAGAGTAAGTCTGTGTCTTTCAAATTACTTTATCATTCTAGCATTGCTAAAAAAAATAGCTTATTTACTCATTAATTTCATATTAGCATGCAATGAAATTCTTCTTCTTCCACGACCACTTTTCAAATTAAGAAATAAAATACTGTAAATGAAGACCAATTTGCATTATAATTTTTATGTATGTAGACCTTACTGCAAAGTAGGAAGATTTCTGAATGCCTAATTAATTTTTCTCCCTAACTTTCAATAATATGCTACTAAGGGAGACTTCAAAGGTAACTTTATTGTTTAGTTTATGTGTAACGGCTGTCACCCAGTCTACACATTTGAAATCAATCTCTAAGGAAACTGCTTATGCCCTAAAATTTATCTTTCCTTCCAGCTCTGCTTTGCTGGTCTGTCCCCTTCATAATCGTTTCCATTATTTCAGTTAGCACTTAATCAAATCAAAGAGTATTTAGTTCCTCTTGTACAATGTTTTGCTGCAGTTCATGGGCTTTTACAGGGTCTCTGACTAGTGGTTGTGATCACTTTTCAGACTGCTCTGAATTCACTTTGCAATAGCCTTAAAAGCTACCCAGTTATTTATCACATAGACTGATTAAGCAACATCCATATGACCTACTCCCAGGTCTGAACTGTTTTTTTTTTTCCAGACCAACTCTATCAGCATTTTCTTAAAAAAAAATCTAAACAAGAAAACCCACTGAATAATGAAACATTACCTACCCAGCATGGCATCTGTCTCTGCACACATAGCATAATAAAATGCTCTAATGTTTCTCACTTCTTGCTTTGTAAACTCTCCTGTGCAATTCTTGGTGTAAGATGAGTAATAGTCTACTGGATGCATCTCTGAAAGAGAAGACCACTTGGGTATTTTAATGGCTTCATAAGTTACCTAAAATAAGAAGAAATTAACATTACTTTAGCAACTGAATTAAACAAATTTTTAAAAAATAGATTTAATTTAAAATTTTTTAGCATAAATTCACTGTTCTCATTTTGTAATGCAGGAAACACCAGCTGCTTACCTGTTACATGGTGCTGCTATCTCCTCCATACTTCCCCTCTGCTTCCACAGGTGTCAAGTCATTTTAAAAGAGAGCTATAAAAATCAACTAGAAACTAAGACCTGGAGCCAGAAATATGTGCTTTACCACCTGATGTCTTTTTTTAAGAGAGATACTGCAGAACAACCTTCTAGAACTGTACTCTAGAGTAAGTACAGAAGCATCAGCATAGTGTCTCATTAACTATGGGATAACTATAAACCATATGTATCAAAAATATCAGGTGTTATGTGAGCCTACAGAACAACATGGAAATTCACTTCAGCTGGGAAGGTCTCCACAGCAGTGGATGACAGGTCTTGACACGGTGATAAAAATAACTCTCTACATTAGTCCAATTTTCTAATACTTTTCTATTTGTTTCTACAGATGTCAATCCATTTAATTGTAAAGTGTAAGATCAGTCTGAAACTAAAAAGCAGGAGCTAATCGGTTACAAATAATGCTGGATTTGTATATTGAAACTGGAATAGCCAGAGATACTGTGTGCTACAGTGCCAGCTTTAGAGCCTCAAAGTTTGAGATACACATTTAGCCTAGGCAGTCATACTTGTAAGCATACCCTTAATTAAGTGCCGCATTTAACAGCGTTAATTACTTCTATATTGTAGTCTTACAGCACAAACTACATAGCAAAGATATAAGCTCAGTAGGAAAACCTCAAGTTTATTAAATAATAAAACCACACCTGTTGCTCCCACTTATCTCTGAAAATCTTCTCTAACAGAGCTGAGACCTAGATTATGGCACAGCAGCTCCAGTGCCTGTGCAGCACCTTCCCAGGGCTCCACGCCTGGGCTGGCCCCAAACACGGGCAGCACTGGTTCCTGATAAAATATGGGCACACTTACCATCCAAGGGGCTCCACGCAGTACAAAAGCAATCAGACCAAAGTTGTCCCTAGGAGCATTACATCCCTATTTATTGGTGTAGCAATTTAAGTATTGGCCCCTGCTGAACCCAATTCGGTTTTGCTCCTAGTTGTGGCATGGATAACTAAGAGCTGTCTGGGCAGCGACTAGCATGGTGTCTGTCTGTCAAGCACATGGTGTATCTTTGACCACCAGTGCTGTTACAGCCGTGTGTTCCATTACCCACAAAGTTCCACCTTCCACAACTGTCAATATTCCCTCTTGAGTTATCTAGCAGATGTATTAAGTCATAGAATTACAGAATGATTCAGGTCAGAAAAGACCTTTAATACTGAGCCCAACCTCACACTGCCAACTCCACCCCTAAACCACGTCCCTAAGCACCACATCTTCTAAATCCCTCCAGGGATGGTGACTCCACCACTGCCCTGGGCAGCCTGTTCCAATGCTTGATAACCCTTTCAGTGAAGAGATTTTCCCTAATATCCAACATAAACCTCCCCTGGTGTAACTTGAGGCCATTTCCTCTCATCCTGTCACTTGTTACTTGGGAGAAGAGACAGGCAGCTAAACAGCTGGTAAGACAGCAGGAGATAAAATGCCCACAGGGATAAAACCCAGCTTAGTAATACTCAAACAGACATACCAAAACCTACATTTCTTTAGGCTCTATAGAAAATAGGCTGCAAGAAGAAATCATGGAAGATAAAGTATTAGCAGACAACTGCTTCAGTCATCTTCCTCTTACTGAAGGCCCTTGGCTATGTAGTCACATTTTGGACTCCTCAAATGTTATTTATTAGTTGCTTAAGATATAATGGGAGCAAAAAATGTCCCTCTCCATCCACAATTTGTCAGAAGGCTGAACCCTCTTCTACAGGGCTTTAAGGATTCACAAAGTCATAATCCCTTTGCCTGTCTGCAATAATTCATAGCTAGGAAAGAAGCCACATGCCCTGAAAAAGTGCCACCTTGTGCAAAATAGAGGGGACCATCTGCTTAACAACACAGGGTTTCATAAACATACCATGTTGATACTCCATTCTGTATTAGCTCCACAGTAAACATAATCTAATTCAAGTTCTTCATCTATGCACTCAAACTTCCTCATGAGATTGATCTCTGCCATTTTCAAACACTACTTCTTCCATGGTCAAAACACAGATACATTCCAGAAGAATCAGTTAATGGTCAAGAAACGGTAAAATGTGGGTCACATAACTGAGTACGTGTATGTAGTGGCAGAAAGGACCTCAATAAACTATGCAGCTCAAGAACTCTAACTGGTTTAAGGATGACAAAAATTTGTCAGAGATATCAGTGCTAGATCTTGTTTTCTGCAAATGAAGGATTTTTCCCCCATGCTTCTCTCCTCACAAATTTCTCCCTATCCCTGGAAGAAAAGAACCCACAACCCTCACTATTACAAAGAAATTCACATCTCTCAACCTTCATTTGTATACCCATTTTCCTATGTCTTTGTATTTTTGTTGCACTCAGAAAAAGAGATTTTGCAGTTCCCCAGTTGAAAAGGTCAAATGAGATATAAGTTGTGTATGTGTTTTTTCAAAGGAAGCATAAAATCTTTTCAACCTAATTCTCAGTTCTTCAGCTGCAGAGAATCTTAATGCCTTTATGCAGTGAAAGCTGTTGTAACCCATTTAAATTTTTATGACAGATAATGGCATCTGGAGACCACACAAGACAGAGAAAAAAAATATTTACTACTTCTTTGGAATGAAGCGCTATCTGTTAGCTTTCCACATATGGACATAATGGGACTTTTCCACACTCTAAAACCATTGAAAAGCCATAATAGCATGGAAAGAAGTTAACAGAAAAGAGGGCCTTCCGCTGTGTCTTACTACTTCACGTTCTAGGTTCATATTGTAAGAAAAGTCAATCTCTCACTATAAAACTCAGACAGAATGATCAAATATAGCATCACTTATAACAAGTATTATACAGAATGTCATAAACAATGAACTTCAGACCATTACTGAAAAAAAGTTACAGCTAAGTATAGCAAAAATTTCAATCTCCACTTAATGTTTCCAGCCACTGAACTCCAAATTTCTTTATTGATTGTGACTACTGCTAACAAACCCTTTCCTACGACAGAGAATCCTCACTTCTATTTGCTTAGACTTAAATCAGAAATCTAACATCTCATCCAAGTAATTTCTTACTGTGTACTGAAATACCAGAACTGGGTGGGACTTGAAAAATCATGTGAGGAATAAAATACTGCTCATAGTAAGTACAATTATAAATAAATTTATATTTAAATTTCATCTTCATATACCTTTTCAAGCCAATATGGAGATGTTAAAAATGTAGAGGATCCAAAATTTTCTCCTGCATAGGGTGATGGATATGGGTGTGGCAAATTTAGTCCCAAGTAAAGAACAAACGGTTCACTAAGGTTAATGGCTTCTTCCTTTAGCCAATTTACTGCTTTATCTGTATTCCGCCAATCTGCTTCCATCACTCGCACACGCTTCCTATCACCAGTAAGATTTACCATGGGTCTCCCTTCTTGCCGGAGCAGGAAGTCAACATCCCTAGTCCAGGCTTCCACACGGTTACTGAAAATACATACACAAGATACATACTCAGTGGAAAATGTTCTCTTCACTTTTCCTCCAAGTCAAGACAGTTAAGAATTCCTGAAGAACTTTCCCTATACTTGTAGCTGCAATCTACTTGTAATTTCTACATAAAGGAGAATTGTCATTCAATTGATCAATAGCTATTCTGCATCTACTTTATACTCAAAGTTTTAGCCATTTTTTTTCTGCTTCTGAATCTTCTTTCTTATTTATTATAACTTCATGTCAGAACAGTTCTCACATCTACAAAATAATTTTTAGAAATAGCATCTCCATCTTGTTGACCCTGCTCCCCATTCAGGCATGGATTCACACGCTGTTTACCTGGTAAAGAGAGACTTAGATTTTTGTTATTTGAAAAAGTCCCGTGGGAAATAACTTGCCTGGAAAGGCTGACTTTAGAAGCAACATTCTGGTTTTGAATTGTATTATTACAACATTTTTAAACACTTATGACAAAAGCCTCTTAAGTGTGATTTATCTTGTACAATTGCTTTTGACAGTTGATAAACGCTACCAAGAAAAGGGAGTAACAGAGGAGGGTGTAGAGAAAGCAAGAACAAGAAAAAAAAAAAAAAAAAAAAAGATAACACTTATAACACTTTGATGACAAAATATTTTTGGAATGGATTTTCTAATATCATGACAATTGTTGCCTCTCTAAAACCCTGAAAAATCTGAGCTGCAGGTGCCCTTGTTTCTTTGCCAGAGTGAATGTTGTGGTTTGAGCTCAGAGAGCAACTGAGCACCATGCAGCTGCTCACTCAAACCTTTCCCTTCGGGAATGGGTAGGAGAAAGTAAAACAAAAGGCTCATGCATTGAGGCAAAGACAGGGAGGGGTGCTCACCGGTTATGGTCTGGGGCAAAAGACAGACTCGTTAGGGGAAGAAAAAGAACATGGCTTTAATTCAGTCACTAGCAACAACAACACTTAACAGACAGAGTATGACAATGAGAAGCATTACCACCTGTTACAAACAGCTTCTCCCCATCCCTCCCTTCTCCCAGGCTCAGCTCTGCTCCCAGTATCTCTACCACCTCCTCCTCCCCATCAGTGCAGGGGGCAGGGGACGAGGGGGTGCAGTCAGTTCTCCACAGGGGTAGGACTCCTCACATCCCTCCCCTGCTCCCCGGGGCTCCCCTCTCACTGCAGACAGTCCTCCACAAACCTTCTCCGCAGTGAGTCCTCCCCACAGGCCGCAGCCGTTCCAGAGCTGCTCCAGCATGGAGCATAACTTATAACTATCTTATAAGTCACATTCAAATGTATACTTAGTATATTCCATTGTGTGTTTGTATTTTTAAGATATGTGTAACTCCTAGTTACAGAGATGATTTGTATTAGCAATGCACTATTTGCAATAGGTTAGGACAAAGCAGAATCAATGCATGTTACAGAACTGCAGTATTGCAGGAGAAAAGCTGACAACTCTTTTTTTATTAGGTAAATATGGGAACAGGGAGCAGTGGTGGTTTTGTAGTTTAAAGAGACAACACATATGCTCGAGTAAAGTTTCTAAAGAGATAATACCGCCCGCTGAATCTTGAGCTAGCTGAAATGTTCTATATTCCTTTGCTAGTCTCCTTTTTAACAAGAAATTAAAATAGCAGGACATTTTAATTATCTCCACAATGAACAAGAACCTTAGTTATAACTCTTCTACACTACTTATAGATTGCTTAATTGGCTACTGAGGGTTTTTAAATCTCTACACAGATGGCATGCTAGGAATGAGATGTACGTTTTGCTCTGACTGATGAATTGTATTTGCAGTTTTCATTTTTTGAATTAAAAACTGTAAACTGCCATTTTCAAATTCCTCTTATGTAGGCACAGAAAGGCTGACTAACCATGTGTTTGTTTTCATTTATTCTCAACCCCTACCCACACTTATTCCAACAGCAATAAGGATTTGATCCGGTTAAGTACAGATCTCAATCTCTCGCTGAAGAGAAAGATAGCAAAAAAAAATATCAAAAATTTGCACCAGGTGAAAATGTAGGATAAAGGCCTAGGGCAAAAGACAATTAAAAAACTGCAACACCATAGACTTTGCAGTATTTTCCTGTTATCTCTGAAGTGGCTAAGAATTCAGCCTCATGGGACCAAGAGCTATGCAAATACAATGTGATTATATGGTTACATCGTAATTTCTGTTTGTGAGACTTTAACCATATCACTAAAGTAGATGAACAGGGCAGAATGAGAGGAATCAGAGTACATGATTGTAGCTCAACTGATACTGGTGTTGCTACAGTTTTGCAAAAACCCTGAATTATCTTAATTTATTTCTCATCTATGGAGATCCGTAACAAAAATATTTAGAATGTTACAAGTAGAACCATTCGAATGTGAGGGTACCAGGCAAAATAAGTATAAATCAAGGTTAAAGTAAAGGTGTGCACTGATAGCCAAGAACACGAATGACATCAGCAAAACAGGTCAGTACTGAAGAAGGGGCTGTCAGTGTTAAGATCACCTTACAGACAACTTATCAGCAGCATCCTCATAGCAGGATGGCAACCGGGTCACTGCGCACTGTGTGTATTCCAACAGGAACAGAAAACCCAAATACAGCTAGATAGCCACAAGAAAGAAACAAAAAGGCTATTTGCCTAATGCTCCCGAAGACCAAAGTAAGCAGGAGTTCAAGGCAAAGTATCGCACATTAGCAACTTTTCATTCCTAAAGAGTGTAAAATACCTATGCAATATGCCATTTCATCATTGCCAATCAGCAGAAAAATAGGAAAGAGCTTATCAGATGACATCCCTTGCCCTATCGCATGCTAGCAATCCTGTTCAGACTACTTGAACACAAATCTTAGTATTTGTGAGTATGTTTGTGGATATGAGATTGTGAGTTGGCAGAGTTTACCAACTTAGAAAATTAAGCAACATAAAAATTATGTTCCTCTTCTGTATAGTCTGACATCAAAGTTTTCTTTGCATTAATTCCTACACATTAAAATTTATCTGGGAACTAAAGACTATATGTTTGCTTAGCTTTGCACTCCCCATGTGAAGGCCTTTGTACCGAAACCAGAATTCACCTATGATCTTCAGCTCAGGCAAATGAAAGCAAGACTTCTGGAAACAAGATATTTATATGCAACTAACCTTTTTTTCAGTGCCACCTTTGTGTTCCAGTTATCATATGAACAGCCAGGAACTTCTGGAATTAATTAGAGCGGCTCTTCTTTAAACCTGAAGTGACTTTAGATTAGAGATAAACAGATTTCAAAGTTATTAAACATTTCTTCTATCTCAGTGAAGGGCAGGGTGAGTGCATACTATATACTAGTTAGACAATACAGAATTTTCTCTGCACAAAAGTGATTGAGAAGAAAAGTGTAAGGATCTGCATAATAATGCAGATAATTTTATTTTTTTTTGGAGTAATTTTCATTTAATGAAAAACTGTTCTAGACGTGCTTAATGATGCACCCAGAGAATCATCTCTGTCTTGCTTCACTACACAGAACAAAATCTGACCCTTTGCTTTCTCAAAGAATGGTCTGTTACTGGCACTTTATAGTGTGCTGTTAAAACTATGCTCTTTTGAAAACCATGAATTCCTGAAGCAATCACAATAAATCATCTCTACATTACAGTAATACAAACACCTGTAAACAATCGTGTTAATGTTTAGCTGTTTCTTGCCAGAGAGGAAACTTTCTCAACATTCATACAAGCAAGCATAAAGAATCAGAATAATCCTATAGCAGATGAATTTTCAGTATGTTGTACAAGTAATTGTGTCTTACTGGAAAAAAAAAAAAAAAAGTTTTAAGAATAATGCAGAATAATACAGACTTTGGGAAAAAAAAAATTAGAAAAGCAGAGGTTGAACATGCATCTGTTATAGTTGATGTTAAGTCACAAAGAAGAGCTGCAGACAGAGACAGGAGAGAAGCATCAGTAGTACACAAATACACTGCCTGGTAAAGTAAGTAAACATTAAGTTCTTGCTCTAAGTCTGTATTTGAATAATCTTTTACATACAGTGTACAACTGGAACATTGAGAAAGGGAAAAGAACTTCCTTTTCTTCTTTGACAGTCTTAAACTGGAGAAGAAATTATTACTTTGGCCAGATTCTAAAGTGGATACTATTTATAAGTATTTTGTAGATGAAAAGCAGTATGTACATGCAACATACTATTAACTACTAATGTGACTTTTCAACTTCTGATTGCTCATTTTAATGAGAGAAGTGAGGAAAATTTAAGGAACTCTAACCTTTTCTTTTTAACAAAGAAAAAGCTCCTCTTTATTATTATTTCAACAATGGACATCACTATTAATCAGGAAGATAGTGCATCTTCATAAAAACACATGGACAGGCGACACCACATTTTGTCCCCACTGTGCAGACATACTATACTTACTATTTTTTGAACATAAAGCAGTCAGTTTCTAAATGTTTCTTCATAAATTTCTGTAATTGTAGTAATTTTTTTTTTTTTTAAAGAGAGCTTTACAGCATAAGAAGTAGACTGGTCTTGTGTGGCGCGGTGTTGGTAGCAAGGGGGGCTGCAGGGGTGGCTCCTGCCAGAAGCTGCCCCCACGTCCCACAGAGCCAAGGCCAGCCGGCTCCAGGACTGACCCGCCGCTGGTAGCGCCTCTGGGACTACGTGTGTAAGAAGGGGGAAAAACCACCTGCTTTGCCATTGCAGCTGGAGAGAGGAGCGAGAAGATGCGAGAGCCACAACTCTGCAGGCAGCCAGGTCAGTGGAGGAGGAGGAGGAGGAGGAGGAGGAGGAGGAGGAGGAGGAGGAGGAGGAGGAGGAGGAGGAGGAGGAGGAGGAGGAGGAGGAGGAGGAGGAGGAGGAGGAGGAGGAGGAGGAGGAGGAGGAGGAGGAGGAGGAGGAGGAGGAGGAGGAGGAGGAGGAGGAGGAGGAGGAGGAGGAGGAGGAGGAGGAGGAGGAGGAGGAGGAGGAGGAGGAGGAGGAGGAGGAGGAGGAGGAGGAGGAGGAGGAGGAGGAGGAGGAGGAGGAGGAGGAGGAGGAGGAGGAGGAGGAGGAGGAGGAGGAGGAGGAGGAGGAGGAGGAGGAGGAGGAGGAGGAGGAGAGCTCCAGGCCCGGGAACAGAGATTCCCCCACAGCAGCCCCTGGCCAGGCAGGCCGTGCCCTGCACCCACGGAGCTCACGGGGGAGCAGATGCCCACCTGCAGCCCCCACGCCGGGGCAGGGGGGTGTCCGAAGGGGACTGTGACCCCGTGGGGAGCCCCACGCCGGAGCAGGCTCCTGGCAGGACCCGTGGGCCCGTGGAGAGAGGAGCCCACGCTGGAGCAGGTTTGCTGGCAGCACTCGTGACCCCGGGGGGGACCCACGCTGGGGCAGCCTGTGCCTGAAGGGTGCACCCCGTGGGACGGACCCGCGCTGGAGCGGTTCCTGGAGAGCTGCAGCCCGTGGGCAGGACCCACCTCGGAGAAGTTCGTGGAGGGCTGTCTCCCGTGGGAGGGAGCCCGAGCCGGAGCAGGGGAGGAGTGTGAGGAGTCCTCCCCCTGAGGAGGAAGGAGCGGCAGGGACAAAGGGTGATGGACTGACCACAGCCCCCACTCCCCGTGCCCCTGCGCTGCTGGGAGGGGAGGGAGAGAAGTCGGGAGTGAAGCTGAGCCTGGGAAGAAGGGAGGGGTGGGGGGGAGGTGTCTTAACCCAAACAACTCATGCTTTGTGATGGCAGATTTAATATTCAAGTATTATCAAATATGTTTCTTTGCTCTGCTTTGCCTACACTGCTAACATAATCAAGCCAGGAAGTCTCAAGGTAAGGCAAAAACATTTCATGAATTTCTGTCAGAGAGCAATACCAATGATCAAAAAGAACCTTCATCCCTGTTGAGCAAAACCATAGTCTTAATACTCACCTACCGTTACAGGTAAAAGTGCATCTGCATGGGATATGCTTGCCTTAGCATAAAGTTGCAGGACAGACCCTCACTAGCTTCCTAACACAATTTCTTTTAAATTAAAGCTACTGCCATTTCAATCAGAGACAGGAACCCCTTGCCAGACCATTACATGACTTATTCACTCCTGTTCATTTCATAGCAGGAGAATCTCTCTCATTACCTTACTGAATGATGTCCAGAAGTATAGTCCAGTTTCCCATATTTCTGTGTGTGGTATCCATGCCTCTCCATGAGATCCATCCACGTTATGTAATCTGGATCGAGACCTTTGAAGTTATTCCAAGATTCTGTTAAATGAGTGAAGAGACCACTCCACATAGCTGGGGAAAAAAGGAAAATAAAAAAAAAAAAAGATATACAGTTTTTGATCAGTAGGTGGTACTTCCTATCTAAATATAAGTTGAATATACTTGAGATGGGATCAATCTTTTTATTATGTTAGGGGTAAGGAGTCCAGGCTGTGATCCAATAGAACAGGGAATACAAAGTATTACTCTTCCAAATCTTATTTTCATCATCAATATGAATAACATTTACTAAAATATTCCCCAGAATCGCAGAAGGTGCCATCATTCTAAGTGCTATATAATCATTAAATCAATGCTGTCTGTAGATCAGGAAACATTCTTATTGATTGCAGAAAGAAAATGTCATGGTACTATAGATCCTCATGAAGCAGTCATGTATTTACACGTGTTCCAGAGTATTACCTCCCCTTACTTCAGTTAGATTTTAATGTGAATTTATATTTAAGTAAGTTTGCAGAGGGAATTAGAGTATATTATTTCTGTAAAGACTATATGCCCTCAGTTTTATCCTTTTTAGGTAACCTACTTCACTACCGGCTGTAGATACAAAGTGAGACTATTAAAGAAGACGCCAAGAAGAAAGAAAACCAAAGGAAGAGTTGCAAAGGAACTATAAGGAAAGCTTTTATTAGCAAATTCCTGTGTTTCTTTGCAGCTTATCAAGAATCGTTCACTCTTCCCAATACTAACTTAGAGTCTAAGCTGTTCTATAAGCAATGGAAATATCCTGTAACCACAGTGTGCCAACCCCAATCCCATACCATGGCCATACTCTGACTTTCCCCACCCCAAAGTTCTCCTTCCTACCATCTCCTCTAGTGTCATCCCTGACACTTCCACAATAGATGTACCCTCAGTTCCTTGCAGGTCTCTACGCTACTGGCTAAACAAGAGATGACCCACTGGTTCAGAGCTGCACTTGTGGTAACTGACCAGTGGTCACGATGATGTTGATGGACCACCTAAAATGCTAAACAGAACTGAAGAACTGTTGAATTCATCATGCAGCCTCTTTCTCACCGGGAGGACTAGCTGCTACTTTCACAAAACTTCTTAAAATTAAATAACCTAATACGAGGTTACTGTTCTCAGCAACGAAGACTGGTTGAAAGACACAAAAATCAAGAAAAAGAAAACAAGACTGACAGCATGTTCATGTAACCTCAGTCACTGAAAATGGGACCTTCAGAATCAGAAAAGGGGACCAGTTTATTAATAAATGCAGTACTAAATACTAACACTAAATTTGACAATCTGTGCCTGCTGCAGTCAGGACAGGTTGCTTCTTCCAATATATACTTGAGAGAAAGGGGGATCTCCCTTTTGGATACAGATGAAATTTCATTTACCTCACCCCTGGAAGGTCTTTGCAACAACTGAAAAGGCTAGAAATGCTTTAAGATGTAACCTTTGATTCAATAGTATATCTTCCCTCTAACTTCCCAGAAAATTCTGCAAGTGTGAAATTGAACAGAGGACAATGATTGCAAAAAGTAAAGAAAAATACTGAAGCATTAAATTAAAGCTACTGAATGACATGTTATGTATTTAAGAGTGTTTGGAATAAATGTCATTGGAAGGCAGTGCTAACAGTCACTGCTTTATTCAGCTGTTTCCTGAGAACAGGAAAGATTCATTAACTTTGTATGGGGAAGGGAGAGTAGTTCTGAATGCAGCTACAGCACTGCAGCAGACAAACTGATGATTTCTCTACAACTCCTGAAGATTTTTCAAATATAATGAAGCTTCAGTGGAATTTGCAAAAATATTTGGGAGCTCACATAGAGGTGGAAAAAGGAGGAAAAAAAAAAGATGAGAAAATTGTATAAATTCAGACACAAACTAAAAAAATTGAGTCTTATTGAAAAACAAAACAAATTCCTCAGAATTAAATCATTTGAAATTTCCCATCATTACCACATATTTAAATTGACAGGTGCAAGTATTTATCTGACATTTTGCTTGGTCCTACCTGCACGGGAAGGACAACAAATTGGAGAATTGGTATAGGCGTTGAGAAAGACAGTGCCATATCTTTTCATAAAATTTATGAAAGGCAAATCCACAGTCTGATTTCCTGGATAAAATGTCAAGCGTCCATCCTGCAATCAGAGAAAACCAGTATATAAACAGCATTAACTCAAAATATTGGCTGCATTAATTCATAGGCCTGTTACCTTGAACTTGTATTATTCAAATGTTGGCAATTCTACTTAGGTATGGAAAATAAAGTGTTGAGAATCTTTAATTAGATCAATATAAAATGGATTACTTGTGAAAAAGTGTAATGTAAAAGATAACTGGACTTATTTCTGGTAAGATTACTTCCTTCCACTTCTATACATATTCTAACCTCCAGTTCTTGCGGGGGAAGGGTCCTACCATGATGCATTCAACAGGGATAGGTATGGTGAAAGATGAAAGGGAATCAGTCTGAATCCTAATGCAGATGTGTGCACTGGACCATATTTCTGTGAAGACAGAACTGATTTCTCAGTCTTCTGTTTCTAAACATTTATCTACACCATGTCTCTGTGAACTTATTTTAAACTATGGACTGGAAAAGTGATCAGCAAGCTGAAGGAAGGCTATTTTCCCACTGAAATGCCATCTGCAGTGGCTCCCTTTTGATGCTTTACTGATCCTTCATTTTACCTTTTCTTTAGCTAGAGTATTTAACCATAAACTTTAAAAAGATCCAGAGTTTTGAATTGGTATTTCTATTGTACAAAATTATGATGTCGTGAAGCCATATTTCATGCAGACTGCCCTGTTTCAGGTCACTGTCTTCTGTCAGTCATATGTCTTTCCTCGGTTCAGAAAGATGTCTCAATTCAGCCTCAGCCTTACCGGTCAGCTCTTCAAGTGAGTCTGCAGTTTTAATAGATCTCCCAGTCAGAGACATTATTCAGATGTGGGCATCTGAGTAGTCCTTGTCTAGATTTGTGATAGAAGCACAAACACCTTAAAGCATGGGTAGCTTAGAAGTTGTGTTTGGCACAGCATTTAGTTTGCAAGAGCATTCAAACAGTCAGACAAGAAGGCCAGAAGAGTTCATCAAACCCCAGTTACAATTCACCAGCTACCAGCTCATTTGTTCCAAAAACAGTGTACAAACTACCACATCAGCCTTTGCACAATAAATGCCAGCATGAAAATTCTTCCCTCTAATCCATATATGGTCAGTGGACCATCCTATCAAGTTACTTTATTTTTATTAAGTGAGAATAGTTCCTATACAAGAAACCATAGCAGAACAGGTGGTATGTGATTGCTTGTAACCCTGCACTAACTTCTTTGTATCCACATGCAGCCTATCAGCATCAGCAGCCTACAAAAAATGCTTTCCACACCATACATTGAGCAAGCTTAATTTGGCACAATGGGTTCTTGGTGTCTGCTGAAGATAATAGTCATCATTACATGACATTAAGTACAAAACTGTACTGTGGCTGTTACTGTATTTTTTTTTTGTTAGGTGAGAAATCTTGAAAACAATTATTTAGTGAGATATGACCTCTTCAACAGAAAATACTAAACTGAGCAACCACTTTGCTCCTGCTGATCATAACGAAAGATCAGCAGATTTGACCAGTGGGGAATCATGGCAGTTACTTTCTCTTCATACTGAATAGGTAGTTTTATTCATAAAAACTCCATGACTGCTTCAGATGGAGACCTTTGATCATCTACTTCAAAACTTAAAGAACATGTACAGTCTCAAGGGATGCAGGACGAAGGCCTAACCTTCTGTGCAATCTCACCTTTAAATAACAGTACATTTGAAACAGGTACAAACACTTCTTAGGCATCCGAGTCACAGTGAAAACTCCAATATATAACAGAAAATGCTATTAGATTAGAAAAAAACAGGCATATGGATGCATGAGTTATGAGAATTGTTAGATGCTACAGTTTGTAATTAAGAAAATGGTTTTTTAAAAAAACAGACTGCATTTGTTTTGAAAAGAGCTGTTTGAAACCTCGTACCTAACATAATATTCCCCTATATGAAACATTACACAAGCTTACATGGAAAGAACAATAAGTTTCCTTCCATCTTCAGCTTCTCAAGAACACAGGTCAGACAATGCAAGATGACTTACCAATTTCATATTATGCTGTTTTGCACATCAGCAGATATACTCCCAAATTTTGACTTTAGTTGAATATTCTGAAATTATTTGTGAGAGGACATTAAAAAACAACACCAAAAATAAGTGAGAGCAAACCTGAAGAATTCACAGGCTGTGTTACTACTGCTTCCGTTACACATGATTCTGCAGAGGTAGGCACTAATCGTCCAAGTGAGAATTTACAAAGAATACTGCACATACATAATCAGATTTTGCAAGGTTTCAGAAAGAACCCAGAAAACATAGTTAAGCACACCATAATTGTGCTCCACAGTAGGAAATAATTATTATAAGTTACTGAAATATTTTAAGATTACAATTATTCTGTCACTGTTTAAAATATTTTAACTTTATAGCAAAAGAACTTCATTAGCTCACTAGCTACCCAGCCACCGTTCATATATTAAGTCCACAATCAGAGACTAAAGTCTTTTTCTTCACTCTTTAGAGTTCAATCCAGGGACTGCATGCAGAAGAAAACAATTCCCTCCATTTGTTTTCTGGCAGAAAATGTTATTGGATAACATGGCATTGTAGCTTCATTTGCCACCAGTAGAGCTAACTGTGGCATCCCAGCACCACACTGCAATGGACAACTACAGAGTAAACCAGGCCACTGGAGATCAGACAACGGTAAAAGACTGATCACCTAATTTTGGACACTACAACAAATGGCAATCAGAACAAGCATTCAGTAGGACAAACTGGAAATAAAGCCGTAATCTGCAACATGAATGGAACTTGGGGCTGAAAGTGCTTTTTAGAAAATACATGACTGATGTGTCATCCTGCCAGCAACACATCCACAAGTTTCTCCAACAAAGTTACTGTTTGTCTGAACAGCTGGAGACAAGAGTTCATTCTTTCAATACTGGACAGACAAGTGACATGTCTATTCAGTGAAAGAAGTAAGCTGCTTTAACAGGCTGAGAAGGTGAAAGCTCTACAGCTATTTCTGGAAATCCGCTCCCCAAGAACTGTGTAGGACTTGCAGATTTTGAAGTCCCTGAGGAAATACAGTTATTCTGAGTTACACAAGCAAGCGCATTTCATCCAAGAACTTGAGCTGCATTGCAAAGAAAGCCTGTCATCACCCAGTGAACCTTAGGTAGCAATTCAGGAGCTGAATTGGCTACTATCTAGCACATTCCACCAGCAAGCCCTGCAAGAAGCACAGTGCTCTGTGTCACTTGCTGTGGTTGTTCAAGCAAGAGGTTACTGCCCTGGAGACCACAGGCAGTCCAGCATCACCAAGAAAACTTTTGTCACACTGAACAAAACTGGTGTGAGTCTTTCATAGACAGCATCACCCACAACAGAGGCAGGCACACTTTCTAATGAAAGCTCATACCTTTTAAGAGCCTACAGGATTTAAGGTTTTTTTCCAGACAAACTGTCAAGTCTCAACAGTACCCACCTCCTCCTGTTCCCTACTAGCAATGTAACCAAAATGATTTATCTGTCTTCAAATCCATCTCATAAAAAACTTATGCAACACAGTGATTCTTTTAACATACTCTTCTTTGTATGCACTACATAAATACAATACTTTTCAGACACAGCATCTTGTTCTTAACTGTTTTTGTAAGAACATCACAAACATCTGGGTCTTTGTCTTTCATTTTTGTAAGGGTTACCTCACTAATCCCTGTAAGATAGCCATGAGAATCCTCATGTCTACAGGACATATAGAAGCCCTACAAAGATTCATCTGCAGCTTTTGTTAGTATCTGGAGACAAACTGGCCATTGATGAACTCCCAGAAGCTACACTTCTATAAATTCAGCATTTTATTTGTAAATATAAGTTTTACTAAAAGCTGAAAGTTTGGAGAAAAAGTCTCATATACAAAAACCACACATTACTTCGGAATGTTAAAAGAGATTATATTCTCAAAATAAACAAACAATGGAGCCAAAGGAAGTAAAGTAAATACGGAGCTATTGCTTTATCTCTGAAATCACAGCAAACATGTTTTAAGAAAGGGTTTGAAGAAGGAAACACATGTTTACCAAATACTTAGGAAGAATTCATCCATCCCAAGAGTAACAGGCAGCAGGCAAGAAGTGCTCTTACCTGCGCAGTCAGGATGGAATTCTGAGATGACTGGGAGACAAGTGTTGATTTCTCAGTAGTAAATGAGAAGCCATGAGACGTGAGTCCTTGGAAATAATACCATGGAGCTTAAGTTTGATTTAACAGGAAGGAGAGCTCAGATGAGACAGAGAAACCAAGGCTTTTCCTTTCCTCAGAGTAAAACCCCCATAAAAACACTTCCAGTATGCTGAGCGGGCAGATAGAAGCAAGGTGAGAAAAGGGTGAAAAATGTGCTGTCTTTAGCTGTGAGCAAGGAAAGATACTTAGTATTTGTGAATGAAAAAAATCTTTTCTACACCTCCGGGCGTTAAATGTAACAATGAATCACTGTAATAAAGACACTAGAAATTTAAAAAACCCATACCTACTAGTTCCTGTATCCTTTTAGATATTGATTTGATAATTCATTGTAATATTTGTTATACCTAATAAAAGTCAATGTAAGTCAATATATGATGCCCAACACCTTAACTCCATCATTTAATCCACGATTACAGAAACACCCCCATCCCATCTGCTGCGGAGGCATAACGTTCCTAGGATTTAAAAGGGCAAGCATAACAGGATTTAGTGACCTCCCTTTCCTTTTCGCTTTTCAAGCCAAGATATAAGAGTCCATTTCACACACCGGGTCTGTCCCATTAACTGCTGCACTGCCCCACAGCCCTGCTGGCAAGCCGTATGAGCCACAGCCAACCGCGAGAATGACCTGTGCACAAGTTTCTGACTATTGTGGTGCACCGGGGAAAAAAATAAAATAGTAAAATAAAAACGTACAGCACGCTCCTGGGAAAAAAAGCCGAGTTTGGTTCAGAGTACAGGAGTTACCGACTGCCTCAGCCGCAGGGGAGGCCTGCCCTCATTGTCCCAAGCAAGCCGCCCCGCTCTGCGGAGGTTGGTGGGGAGTGAAAGAACACCCTTATTTTCGCTGCCATCCCGCCCTGGCCACTCACCAAGGAGTCGCAGGCCACCAGCACCACGCTAGGCCGCGGCTGGCTCCCGCGGGCGGTGGGCCGCGGCCTCGCCCCTACCCAGGGCGAGGCGGCCATGAGGAGGAGAAGCGGCAGCTCCAGCCCGGCCCGCCGCAGGGGCCCGCCGCCCCGCATCACCCCAGCGCCGGGATCCTGGAGTGGGCGGAGAAGGGAAGCGGCAGCACCCGAACGCCGATCCCGGGGCGGGGGGGGGGGGGGGGGCCGCGGCCTCAGCGGAGCCGTTCGCTCCCGCCCCGGCGCCGCGGACTACAGCTCCCAGCGTGACCCGCGAGGACTACAGCTCCCGGCGTGCCGCGGGGCCGCCGCAACGGCGGCGCCCACCCGCGAAATGGCGGCGGAGCGCGCATGCGCGTGGGGCGGACGCCTGAGGTGGCGAGGGTGAGGCGGCGGTGAGGGGATGGCGGCACAGCTTGACCCGCTCTTTCTGCCCCCCCGGCGGGGCGAGCGGCTGCGCCCGGAGGACGCGGAGCCGTTTCCCCACACGGTCCGTGGGCCCCCGGCTGCCGGGCTGGGCTGCGGAGCCGGGGGTTGGCTCTCCCGCTTCGGCGCTGACGTCGTGTCTCTTCTCTCTGTAGGTGGAAAATGGAGCTCAGGCTTGGGAATGTCAGCGAGGGGGCATGTTTGTGATGGTCGGGGTGCCTGTGCCCTCGTAGGAAGGAGATTTGTTTCCAGGAGCTGTTGAGCCGTGTAAGTTTGACTTTTTTTTTTTTTTCTTTAGGCTCTGAGGGAATTTTTGAAATCTGCTCTTTTCCGTTGGGCTTTCATTACAAATTTATCACTAGGCTCCTCCCCCCTTCTTTCTATTTTGCCTTTCAGCCGCTAAAACCTTTTTTTTTTGTACTTGTTTGTCGCTTTTTCAGTCTTTTCCAGTGCCTGCATCAGCAGTGTTGTTTCTCAGCCTCATCCCATTTAGGCAGCTTCTGGACTTCATTTGAGGCAAAAATACCGTCTGCATCAAAATAGCGCATGATGATGTCAGACTTCAAAAGCGTGAAGGCGTCTTTGCTATGTCCTTAAACGCATATTATTTTTTTCGCTACACGGCTGTGGTTATAAACAGGGTCTGCCCTAAGTGTGTGTGAAGGCAGAGGAGCGTTGTGGACCACTCCTGACTGTCAGACTGGTCCCAGTGGATAGATGCAGATCGCTGCCTGTGCACAGCAAGACTACTGTGTAGATAGCACACAAGAAAAAACTGTGATCCTTAGGAACACGTCCAGTGCAATGCGCCTCTTAAGCACAGTTCAATGCAGTAATTCCTCTTGCAAAAGAAACTATGCAGGGTGTCTTCCTAGGAGTCTAATTGTGACTGTCACGTAACACTGCTCCTCCTAATTAAATTTAGCTTAAACCTTCAGCAAAATTTCACTCTAGGGTAGCTACATGGTATCATTTAACTGTTTGGAGTATTGACTTAATCCAATGTTGGGGCTAAGCATAAGTAAATATTCATTTCAGCAGTTTTTGGTTCCGTATGCATTTTGTCATATTTCACTATGTTTCTGTGTTTAAAATGCTCTCTTTGCAATTACAGTAGGATATAAATGTTTTGAGTTCAGTATTTCTTTTTATAAAAACTGATTATGTGTCCTTTTTACTTGGTAGCCACAATGTCAAATAAGGAGGTGAAGGCAGCATTAAAGAGTGCTAGAGAAGCAATACGAAATAAAGAATATAAGGAAGCCTTAAAACATTGCAAGGTAATTAATTTTTTACTTGGAAGGTAATATTTTTTGCACATTTTGTTTGCTGTTCCCATACCCCATATCCCAGCTGTATAATAATGCAGAGTGTGGAGTACCTTACTGACATAATAGTTGAGACTGATTCTCAGATTTAACTTCATTGGTCATTCGGGTTAGTTGCCCACACGTAAACTTTTTTCCCTGCATTTTGCATTTGCTTATATGTGGCAATAAGATTATTAATTCTAGAATGATAGAGATAAAAATCCACTCCTAGTCCAATAAGATTATTAATTCTAGAATGATAGAGATAAAAATCCATTCCTAGTCCAGACCTCAACATGAGTGTTCTAGTTGCCGAGCTACAGATATGGTTACTGGCAGAACAGTTCAGATATGAAGCATTCTCTGGCATGAAAAGCTGAAGCTATTAATATTAGCCTTTTCCTAAGAATTACTTAACATGTATACCATACAGACTAATTCACCAAACTGTAATGATAAAATTCAATATGCCAATCTATACGATACATTTCATTCATTCACTTTAAAATTGTGTATTTCTAGGCAGTGTTGAAGCAAGAAAAAAATAACTACAATGCTTGGGTATTTATTGGCCTGGCAGCTGCTGAGTTACAGAAACCTGATCAGGCCAAAGGAGCATATATGAAAGCTATTGAACTTGAACCAGACCAGTTACTGGCATGGCAGGTATGTGACTGTCCAGATTCACTTTTTCTTTCCCTGAAAAGTGTCACTATGGAGTGAGATACAGGAACAAAGCAGAGTTGAGACTTGCATTGTGTTCTTGAGGCCCTTAGTTCTGCTAAAGCTTTAGAGTAGGTGAGGTTCGTATTATTTGTGTCCAAAGTACAGCCATGGGTGGCTGCATATGTGTAGCAGGATGAAATTTAGTTTCATTATATTTAAATTTGTATTTCTTGTGTAGACTAAATAGCAGTGAAACATGCAGGGGAGACCATGACAGTAAATTTGTCCATACTTAGGACTTTCCATGCTCAAGAAACATTTGATAGTGCTTCTCTCATAGGCAAGAAAGTCTTTTGGCTAGTAACTTATTTTTTAAGCATCAAGTGTATTGTTACTGAATTTTGTTACTGTTACTTTAAAACAATAGTATGTATTTTAAATAGCTGTGTGCTGGGTGGTGTGTACATGACCACCTAGAACAGTATATAGTTAAAACGTACAGCTGTGTTATTTGGAGACTTGTGAAGCATAAGATTGAATATTGTTTGCCTCTGATACCAACGACCGATGTTTTTCTAAGGTAGTAAGGTTCTTGGTATTTCCAATATGAATACCTTTTTAAAGTGTAGCTGTTGGTTTCAAGGCATTGAAGTTTCCTCAGTTTTGCAGTCAGATTCTGGCTTTCTCTTACTATGTAAGACAGTATGATACTTGGTTATCAAACTTCTATCATATGACATGGTGTGCTTTTTATATTGCCTATTAAGCAAACAAGATTATTCAATACATACAAGTTTCAAATAGTTTTTTATATCAGTTAAGAAAGTGAGGAAAGCTTTTCATTTAAAATAGGTAGATTCAGAAGTATCAGTGTAGATTCTGCTCAGAGATTACTGCATTTGATCCTGTTGAAGGCAGTGGAGTAATTTTTGTAGGTGGAACTTGCAGTGTTCTCATAACACGTAACTGTTGACATAAAATCTGACTTTATCTTTTGTTTATTTGTTTGTTTGTTTAAAGGGATTAGCAAATTTCTATGAGAAATCCAATGAAACAGATGTCAAGGGTGACTTAGCAGATGTTTACCAAAAGCTGTTGGAGCTCTATGAAAGGTAAAGGATGCTGAATACCATAATTCAGTCTAAGATTCTAGTTCAGCGTATGCCATTGCTGATAGACAGGATAGGCTTTTCTTGTTTTTTAAAGCCTTGTCACATCAGTGGGTCAGCACTTGTTACTAAGGTTTTCTGTACCTGTATAAGATTTCTTGATGTTGTCCCTTTTGATAGGGCAAAACCTACTGGAATACTTGTACTTGAGGTTAGTAGTTTAGAGAATTAAATGTTACCCTGTGTCCTCTGTCTAAACTCACTGCCTTGAAGCATTTGGTTCTGGTGGTTTATTGTCTGCAATAATAAGTGGTCTTATTTTTCTCTGCTTTAAGATCACAGAATATATGTCACCCAATTCATGTAGGTACAGTTCTAAATAAATCTAACTCTCAGCTGTCACTGTAGCTGACTAGAGTGTTTATTTTGTTCCATTAATTTAAAAATTGTTCAGAAAGAAAAGTATTTTTTTTTACTCAGTTACGGCATCAATGAATAAACTTCTAGGTCAATCTGAAGTATTTATTCTAAATATTTGTTTGTCACCTGAATCTACTAAAAAATTATTTGTCATAACTTGAAAAACATTATACTATTTTATGGAAAATTTAGCTTGTTTCTGTGGGATTTTCTTCCTTCTTTCTAGTGATGACAAGCAGAAATGGTATGATGTATGCAACAAGCTTGTAGAACTATATCATCAAGAAAAGAAATATTCAGAGGTAGGTTGAGTACTTTACTTTCTCCTAATAAGAAATTTCCATTTGATCAGAACTAATTACTTTTCACCAAGCAATCTGCAATTTTTTAGGGTGAAGACCACTTAAGATCTCCTTGTGAACCATAGCCAGAAAGAAGTGATTTTAACTATATTATTTACTTTTCCGCTGTGTAAAACTTGGATGCAATCCATTAAAATCACAAAGCTCAATAAAGAATATTAGTATACAGGCTGAAAAGGTGGAACATCATTCTTCTGTTTTATTTCTAGAAATCAAGCATGATCCTAAATGCGCATTGACATGCAGTATGTGTGAGTCAAGTGTGCTTTGCCTGGCTTGGCCAGTTCTAGGTACCTGATAGACCTTCCTAGACTGTCCCTGATACTTAATGCCAAAGGATAAGGTGGAATTTGTGCACATACTGCATCCCACACAGAAAGATGAAGACAAGCAAAGCTGCTCCAGGGCAACCCAAGCTTCAGCCCACCTAGCACTCCCAAAGTCTGCGTCAGTGTGACCCTTGCAGGAATAGTCATGGCTCTTACGAGTTTACCAGGAGGTGGAGCTGTTAAATGCTTGAATGGTTCAACAGTAACACTGCCTGCAGTCTCTGTAGTAATGTTACAGGATACGTATTTTTGCAGTTCTGCTGTTCACTCTTCCTTTACTCTTCAAAAAGGTTGTTTTCTTGCAAGTGGTGCATGATCTTACTCCATGTCCTCTCCTCCCCTTTCCTCCAACAACAGAAAATGCAAAATTTTACGTACCACTTAGTATCAGGCTCAAGACTATTAATTAGCTCCAAAGCCTCTTTGTATACCACTTTCTGAAACTAAATTCAATGCTAATAGCTTAGCATACAAAGGCAGGCTATCTCTATGTTCAACAATAAACAGCAAGTTAGACTTCAGGGTTCTATTTTCTCTTTTTCAATTCTGTTCATTTTTACACACTGGGATTTCAGCATGGGCTGCTGCTGCTCTCTTTCTGTTCTTAGTGCTGTAGATCAAGCCAGGCTTCCATTTTCAATTCAGAGTTTGTCAGAG